ACGTATAAAAATATAATTATCCAAATTCACGGTGGTAGGGCCACGCAACAGCCTCGGCTGTTGCACGAATGGGCAGGCCCGTCCGGGTAAGTACCACGACCTCACAGAAGACCAGCGTAAAGTGGAAGTATGACAAATACTTTCGCGTTTCGTCTGGTGAGTGAGGTAGCCGGAGCCCAATTTTCAAAAGGTTGTCAACGCATCTGTAACCCTCGGGTGTGGCAGATGTCCATGGGCGGCGGTATTCACTTACCATCAGGTGAACCGACTGCTCGTTTAGCAACTTTTCACATAAAAATAAAAATAAAAATAAAAAATTCTTATATGTAGGTTTACATGCACTTTAAGGATCTCTCCCCTTACCTCAGTTAAGAAAACGCGTCGCTTTTCTCGAATAAATTTCGCTTAAATCAACTTCAAATTTGCCAGTTGTTTTGTTTACCTGGAATCTGTCATACCCTTTACAGTCCAGGACTATGATGGATAGCGTTACGGGAAGGAGTCACTGTAATGGAAAACAGTATTTAGTCCTTTAGTGCCTTGATTTTGATTTTCACATAATACCTGTAATATTAGAAATATGAAACGATAAGAAAAATGGTTGGAAAAAGAAAAAATAACAAGACCAAAAGTAATAGCTAAAATAAATTTGTATTTTGATATTTAATAACATATAGATGAATTTTCTCAATGAAAAGTAGCTTATGTTATTAATGTAGAATATACTGAAAAAATTCTGCGTTTTTTTTTAAAAGGTGGCAATCGACAATGTTAAATGATTACTACCGTCTATGCACATCTGTTGCAGACGTGTTGTCAACGTTTATCAAATGTAACGCAAAGTTGCAATACTTCCACATCTCGCCGGTCTTCTGATTTTTGAATGCTAGGGGCATCGTGTCAGATCTCTAAATTCAAGTGAAATAAAAATGAACTCTTCTATATTCTATCGATATAGTTTCGTATCATATCAACGTATCATTGATACGTAACCGACATTTGTCGTTTCGTACTGAGGTAGATTCATAGTATGTTAAGTGGCGGGCGTTAATGTTGGCCAATAAATAATTATACTTCCTCACAAACACCACGCATCTGCCTCTCTTCGTTAGCAGCCGCAAGTGGCTCAAAAGCGGCTTATCTCTTGCGCTACGCTTACCGTTATTTCATTAAATGCCACGAAAGTTGAAATCAAGCAAGATTGTCGCTTGCTTTTCCAGTCAGTTAACCTTTTTGCACAAGTTATTGTCACATGTTCATGTTTTTATACAAATATTCATTATTATAATATTTTATACTAATATTTATTCTTACTAAAACCACTAATCTAACTACATACACGAGTAACAAAAGATTATATTTCTAGAAAAGGTTTTCAATTAGAAAACTCAATATTGGACTGCAAAGTTGAAAGAACAAAAAACCGTGATTCGTGAGTGATGAAGTCGTGATTGTTGTGGTTAGCTATGAGAATAGCTTGATGTATCTTACTTATGCATTTCATAAGAATGTTCCCTAAATTGTGATATTAAACATTTATAGCTGTATAAGTATTATTAGCCAGTAAAACTTGGTCAATACCTATCACAAGATGAAAACAATATCTACCTAACAGCCGACATCAATTACTTAGTATATAATAACTGCAAATTTCAATCTGACGCCTGACACTGATCAGTTTTTCAGAAACCGGGCGTCAGTCTTGTTAACTCTTTTTATATAAATTATACGTTGTAAAGGTACATTTAATGTATAAGGTTAAAATTATAATTCAGTTTCTATACCGGTTATGAATGTCTAAAATAATCCCTAATTTTTAATTTTAATAAATTTTAGGTTGCAGTGACTATTACTAATTCTTTATTTATACAATCGTGCTCTTTTGTTTCGTGCAATGAAATATTTTTAGTACCTACTAGTTTTTCCAATTTATATCCTAATATATTTCTATTCCATTTGCTGATTTCAAAAACGTATGTCACCTGCATTAGTTTAACTGCGTAAACAGTTTCCCAGCAGCCTCCAGATTCATCAAATTCCGTCGCGTCGCTTCAGTCAACACGACACGCTTGACGGAGATGGATATTCTCCTTTTAACCTTGAAGATGAACATGAACTGATTTTGGGAATGTTATTAGAATATCTAGGAAGCGTATGGACAGTACTATATTCTCTATTAACGCTTGATCCCGCTTGACGTGCGATTTAGTGCACAAGGTACTACATAATTATTTCTATATTTTAGTAAGATTGTCTCTACCCATTAGGTCTCATGATCACATTATGTGAGGAAAATATCAGTTTCTTAACTTTATTTTGTCGAGAGGCGTTCTTTGTGAAATTTATTTTAAAATTAATAAATATTTTTTACCGATTATGTCTTTTATTTCTACACGTAATGAAAATAATATAACGTATTACTTTTTAATGTAATTATATAGTATTATTAATATTAATAAAGAACTCAAGTTTACAAACATTGATAAATCTCATACCTTATTCATAAAATCTCAGAAAATTTCAAAGTTATATTTAGTTTCATTTGTCATTCGTAGAACCGTTCTACTGTTCACGATATAAAACATGAATATATTGTATTGGAAAATCATTACGGTATGATTTTCAAAATCTTATTATTTCATCGCTATTAACGTTTATTGTAAGCGGTCTGACGGCGATCACGCGATTCCTTCATTAAAATATATTTGGTAATTATTTACAAGTTCATTCTTCTTTAGATTTGCAAGGCCTTGCTTTTACACTTGAATTGAATTTTTTTAATCATGAAGAACTAAATATATATATTGCAGGAAAGAAAACAAAACAAACGAAGAGCACAAGCATTTTAATATCAAAAAGTTATTGGAAAATAAATAAAAATTATCGAATCGTATTTTCATTTCAAACTATGGTAAAAGCATAAGTTGAAATAAACTTTATGAAGCATAACTTTGGGAGTTATTATCACTAGAGTGAGTATCACTTATTAACCTTTGATCAAGAAAAGAACCAGCCCTCTAGTCAACAGCCTTAGCGATATGTCTATAGGACGTAAATCTTTCAAATTGATGATGTCCGGAGACCTTAGGTCTCTTTACTCTACGGACTAAAAGCAAAAGCATTAGTTAAAGGTAAAAAGTTCGCAACTTCATCTGCGTCTGATGCCGCCCCGGCGCTTTTGTTGATATATACGTATGTATTGCCTTTTTTGGATAAAATAAAACTTGTAGACAAAACTGATCTTCGTTTTTTCAGGGACCCTTATTTGAAACAGGAGACAAACTTGCAAATGGATCACCCAATCGTAAGTGAGCAATGCCACCCACCATTATTTGCATCATATTAGTTCACATAGTTGTTATAAAAATCTCGGATCGCTTTTAATAAGGTACAGATTAATATGAAGGCCGGCTATTGAATGTTGAATAATTGAATACCAGCATGTAATCGAAAAAAATGTTATTCATAAAATTCTTTTCTCGAAAATTTATTTGTTAACACAAACGGCGGGCTTAATGCCAAATGGCACTTTCTAGCAGTCTGACTAGGTCGACCCTAATAACAAAATGTAATTTCAATAAACGACTTAAGAAGGTTCCAAATATTCAGGGCCAGATTTAGAGGTCTGGAGGCCTCGGAGCAACAAAGGAGTGGAGGCCCCTTGGCCCCAAGTTATTTTCTATTGATTTCTGTTAATATTTAATGTAATCATGTTTCTACAAAGTACTGTCGGTACAACGTAAAACGTGAAAAAAATATGAAAAGAAAAGTTGTTTACTATTGTTGTCTATAGCTGGCGGGAATACTAAATCATTGACGACCTATTAAAATTAAACGAAAGTTTTTCTGTGGTAGTGCCACGCAACAGTGTTCAACTATTGCACGAATGGGCAGGTCTGTTCGAGTAAGTATGTGAGGTCGTGACAGAAGACCGGTGTAAAGTAGAACACTTCTGCGTTTCGTTTGGGGAGTGAGGAAGACCACTTAAGCGTTACCACTTTTAAATAAAGTGGTAACGCTTTTGCAACCCTTTGGGTGTTACAAAAGTACATGGGCGGCGGTTATCATTTAACATCAGGTGAACCGCCAGCTCGTTTGCCACTTTAAAGAAAGTCTTGACACTGCCGCCTTTAGCGACAAATGAAAATGCCGATGTTTAAACAAATCAATATTATTTCCAATAAATTTATCAGTACATCCACATTGAATGCATTATATTACTCCCTAAAATAAAACATAAAAGTCTTCGACAGCATCAAACTAAACGTAAGGAGTATAAGATATGACGTATTTACAATAAGGTGGTTTAAACACAAACTAAAACAAGAGAACATAACAAAAAAAAATATTCAGTGCAACAATAAAATAATAAATATATCTATAGACAGTGGTTCAACGTGATAATGTTACAGTAAATCTAAAGGATATAGTTAATCTGTTAGTTATTTACGATTTTGTTACAAAATTATCTATTGGCCTTCACATCACAGAGCGATTCATCATCTCAATCTCGCGTGGTTCTCGACGCCGATACTGCAGAGACCGCAAGCAGAGTGAAACTCGTACATCGCTCAGTAAACGCTATTAATGGCGAGAAGATAAAACGTCATGCAACGAGTAAATCGCTAGCAAAAGCAAACAAACGCGCGTACGCGATACCAACAAATTTGTCATATGGCCACACGTGGTCGCATTCAGACGGCATTCGATTAGAGACTGGCGGCATTGATTTAGTAAAGCAAACGGAAAAATGCCTGACACACAAAAGGTCATGCCAACGAAATGGCGAATTCGAACCCGCGAATCAAAATTTACCATAACTATCGAGATGACAGCGAACACTCGTGTGGAGCCACATACGCCGTTGTAATACAAGTAGTAAATTTAGAATATACAAAATAGATTTTAGCAAACAGCAGACCGACTCGCTGAAGAAAAACTTGGCGGCGAACCGTGTGTCCCTCAAATTAAAACTCGTCGAAGGCTTCTCGTGAACGAGAATGAACCCAGAACGGCCTCCAGGACTAGAAAAAGAACAATTCGAAAGTTTATCGGCTGACACGAGCGAAAGCCTATACAAAATGATATGTGTGAGTAGCCGTCGAAAACCAGTGCGGCTGATCTCTGCTCAACTATCGGCGGCGCAACCTGTACGTAAAATTCATGAACACACAACGAAGTATCATAGAGATTATACAAAACAACACATCGCTCGACAAGGAGAAACTTTAGTTGAGACAGTACCGTTTCATTTATCAAGAGGACCTTGTACAACAATAATTTATAAATTAAGACAGTCGTTAGGCCTTAACATTAACAATATACAGTTATTATGGCAGATATCAACAACGAATTTATAATTTCACACCTTAATCGAGGCATAATTTTCTTTAATCCTTTTTTTTTAATAGAAACAAATCTAGATCGATAATAATGTACACGCAATAACAAAGAGCGCCTACCCCCGCCGCGTAGCGGCCCAATTTCACTAAAGATGGCACTCCCTACAGAAAGCTCGAACCGGATCATCACCAGTCACCACAAAGGCTGTTGTACACCGAGCCATCCTTGCCCCACGCAGCCGCAATGACGTCGCGATGTTGAAACAACAGGGTCACATAGAACCGGTCAATGCTCGCGCTATTCACAAGTCATCAGAAGGCGTGCAACGACGCCGCCACGGGCGGGCGTGGGGCTAGGCGTAGCCGGGCGGGTCCCAAGTGGCCGTCAATCAGGAGATGTAGGGCAGCAGGAGGTAGTAGAGGCAGGCGAGCGCTACGGGCAGCAGTAGCGCTACGGCGTGGGTCACGTCGGGGCGTAGCGGCTTGCTCTGCAGCGCGGCCAGCTGGGCGGCGAGGCGGGCCCTCTCGGCGCACACCTCGGCCCACCGCTCCTTCGCCCTCACCAGCTCCTCCTCGAGCGCGTGCAGACTGCCGTTCTGCAGGGTCACCTGCAGCCGCTGCTCGTCGTCCAGGCGCACGTACTCGGCCGGCGCGGCGGTTCCCTCCTCGAGGGCGTCTCGACCGATCTCGGTCGCCGCCGAGTCCGACTCGTCCTCGTCCTCGTCGTAGTCCAGCTGGAACATCTCGTCGATCTCGGCCGATATCTTGGTAGCGTCGATGGGGTCGGCGGGCTCGATGGGCTCGGCGGGCTCGGCGGGCTTCTCTATCGCGGGCGTGGTCTCCACCGCCTTGTCGACGGTGCACTTCTCCCTGTTCAGCGTCGCCTGGAGGCGCTCGATCTGGTCCTGCTTGGCGACGAGCTCGTTGCGCAGGCCGCCCACGACCGCGGCGAGGTCGTCGATGTCGGCGCGCGTCGGCCGGAACGCGAGCTCCGCTTGCATCTCGGCCGCGCTGGAGGCCAGCCGCTGGATCTCGGCCAGGTTCGCCTCCTCGGCGACCGTCGAACGGCTGAGTTGGGCCTGCAAGGTCGGGTATAAAATTTAAATGAAACTATAAACACGTAATTTTAATGAGACTGAGTAAATTTAAAAGATGATATTGTTTTTCTTTATTAGTTTTATTTATGTAGGACTGCGCAACCGTCTTCGATGTTGTACGAATGGGCATGTTCGTGCGGGTAAGTACCATAACCTCACAGAAGAACGGCGTAAAACCTTCTCATATAAAAAATAAATAAATAAAAGAATATCGTTTACATTGCAGCCAAGCTCTATAACAGCGATCATTCCGATCCTTGGCTCAGCAAATGTAACACAGAAGTATATAAGTAAACTTTTACTTCACGTCGGTAAGATTCTTCTCTAAAGTTAGTTACTAGAGCGGTATAAGATGCTGCAGCCGTGGCTCTACCGTATTACAAATCAAACACACCATAATAGGTTTAAATAAAATAAACGCCATATTGATAGCCAAAAAAACATATAGAGTGCTAACAGGCCAGCATACTAAGTGTAGTATGCTGGCCTGTTTCTAGTGAGAAAACCCATTCCCATCCCGGCAAAGCTTAGAGGAGATCTGGAGTTAAGTACTTGTGGAACCCAGTAATCTGGCCAATGTCTAATCCCTGTAATCCGACATTCCTGCCAGTGTGGAAAATAGGTACATAAACATTATTCTGGCAAATCTTCACTACTGTAGGTAATGCCTGAGCTCTCTATATTGTGTTCTTTAATGTACTACTATTTACGGAGTGTGATTTTTAGTTCATATAGAATCTCGTATATAAATAATAATAAATTAATAAATATTTAGGACACATTTGTACACAACATTTTCTAATCCCAAACTAAGCAAAGCTTGTACTATGGGTACTAGAAAACTGATTAACATACTTAAACATACTTTTCTTTTGTAAATAAATACCCAGACACTAGAAAAACACCATGTTCATCACACAATATTTGGTCAGTAGTGGGGATCGAACCCACACCCTCTGGCGCAGGAGGCGGGTACACTACCCACTACGCCATTCGGGTCGCCGTGGGTCATATTATATTGTGAGCGATCGCAGTTCGCTTTTAGTAGGCACCTGCAAGTCGTGGATCTTGGCGCGGAATGCGGCGGCGTCCTCGTGCTCGGCGGGCGGCTCGTCGCGCGGCTCGGGCTGCGCGGCGAGCAGCTCGTCGCGCACCGCGCGTAGCTGCTCCGCCTCGCCCGTGGCGGCGGCGAGCCGCTCGCGCAGCGCCCGGATCTCCTCGTTCAGCCCGCCCATCACGCGCAGTATGTTCGCGTATTCGACGCCCGCTTTGCTCTATTTAAATAATGTTAGTTTTGTATGGTATAATGTATTCGTACCGTCATTATGGTATCGTTAAAATTCTGTACACGGATACGCCTATTGTACAGTTTTGTATTATTATATTTTATTTGTATTTTTTTGTGTACATATTTCATTCATTCACTCATTATTTTAGATAGTAATCTTGGAAGCAATTTTTTTTTAACTACCCTAAAGCATACTGGGACGCTCAGATTTATGAGGGCCCAAAATATTGAAACTCAGCGTCTCCTATGTTCTTCTCTACTTATATAATACATAATAAAATAAAGCTTGAGTGATACGATCTAAATGTACGTAAATTAATTTGACCACAAATATCACTATTGTTCCATTAACATGTGGGCTAGTTTTAATTTTATAACAAAGACCCTAATAAAATGTTATATAAAAAGTACGAATGATTATTTTTTTGTAAACAAGCTTTATATTCTCAGCCTTTAGTCTACATTGTTTAGCGAGTTTTGATCGATAAATGGTTACGAGAGAGAAAAATACGAAGTAGTATGACTGATAAATTCTTGAATTTGCGCGATTACACACCACTCATTGAATTTATTTTTAAGGATTTATCGCATTTCTTTAAAATAAATTATGTGACGGAGCGAAGATTGGAATGTCTGAATCTTATAGTTAGTCCGGGCTACTGTCATTATTTATATTATTAATTTTGTGTTCGATCTCCACAGAATGTGCTAATTGTTTCTTGTCTTGAAGATGTGGTTCGTTTCGGCCTTAATAGTTTTATTGACGGTATAATCCCAAGCTGATGGTAGCACCTTAAATCGCCCCAACCAATACATCAGGTTTGATTCACACACCAACCCTTGCAAAACAACACCTATTCCTTCCAAGGATGATCCGCAAGGCTATTAAAATTAAAAAACACCCTAACTTCTATAGAGAAGAAAATCGATAACCGTACCACGAAGATATATTATTACACGACGACTCCAGGCTATGTTATTGTATGCTGTTGTTAATTCATAATCGTTAAAAATCTTAATATTTGTACTTGTAATTATCCTTCATCTGGATCATGAATTACTTCACCGGGGGTTAGATTGCATCTAGAGCTGATTATCTAATGTCAGCCATTTAAACAGTCGCTAGATGGTAGTCATATTTACTTATAGCGCATACTTTACGTCTACTTGAGATAAATGATGTTACAAATGATGTAACAGTACGAACAGGCGATTCCTCTCGCGTGCTCGGCTCGCTGTATGTCGAGTTCGCATTGTTGTCCGGATGCAGATCCCCATCTATTGGACTCGTGGACTCCACTTCGTTAACTTGATCTGAAACGCAAAGAATAACATTATATAAAATATATACGCTTAGTATTTAAAATAAAGATAATATTTGATTGGATTAAAACTATTAGGCTTTCAGGCAAACTTTTTTTTTTTGTATCGCCATGGGAAAAGGATTACGGGCAAGGTTGCGTCGAGTCTATTTAAATATTTAACAGACATGCAAGCAAACTCCGGAGCCGTTTAACGCCTAACTAAAATTGCATTATTTTATTGTCATATAAGTTTCGATAATAAATCGAAGACCAAAAATGAAATGATTCAATCCTAGTTAAAAACCAATTGAAGTCTTTCGATGCAGCCGTAAACTACAATTACTTTTAACAATTCAATGGGGCAGTTACGTTCCATTTCAGAGCCAAAATCTAGTGGTCTACGCAACAACAGTACGCAGACTCGACCAAGGAAGTACCACAGCCGTGCAGAAGACCAGCATGAAGTGGAAGTATTCTGCTTTTGCGTTACAACTGATAAATATGGTACTGGAACCATTTTAAAAAAAAAAAGTAAAAAACGCCATTTGCAACCTTTAATGTATTGTAGGTGACCATGGGCGGTAATAACTTAACATCAAGTGAATTGGCGGCTCGTATGACAACCTTCCTTATATAAAAAAAATTAAGTGCCTCAGTGTGGCTATGGTGTCAAAAAAACGTGTCCATTTACCATAAACAGCAGTTTTTCTGAATAAAAAGAATGTGATCGTTAACTGTTTTGTTGACGGCTAGGCGTTGCACTAACCGTGGTTGAGCCGAGATTGCTTCTCGTCGTCGGTGAAAGACTCCGGCTCCTCGGATTTCTCCTCACTGCTGACACCAACATCGCCATCCTCCGTAACTTGTTTTTCTGTTCGACAAGAAACTAGTTAAAATGAATTAAAAAAAAAATATAATGAACATTATACTTTATAAATATATTCATTTATTTATTCTCAATTGGAAACACTTTAAACAGAGATTACGAAGGGCGGACTTATTGGCATTCTATATCCTCAACCAGTGCACCAATATGTGCAATAAATCAAAACCGAATTTGTATTAAATTAAGTAAGTAAAATTAATACAGCAGACTTCCATGTTTTATTTGCGTTCATTGGTTACATTATATATAATGGAAGAGTCGACTAGAAAATTTATGTTTACTGTAAAACATACCTTTATTTTCTGAGTTGTAAATATTATTCTTTTTTAATATTAGTTCGAATTCTTTCGCTGACTTTCCCTCCGCTGATATTGTTTTTATGCCCACCTGGAACATAAAACATATTTATAAATCAAAAATAAAATAGATAAAGGAAGAAAAATCTATTTCAATTCCTTGTTATCAAAATTTGAGATCTTGTAGCAAACTATAAAAATCGTGTTAAGGTAGGGTGAATCAAATAAACGAGACGACTTCTCAAGTCAACTAGACTATGCAACTGTAGATGATGATATATTGTAGCTAACTCTTAGGAGAATAATTTTAGGGTTCCTTACCCAAAGGGTAAAACGGGACCCTACTACTAAGACTTCGCTGTCCGTCTGTCCGTCTTTCACCAGGCTGTATCTCATGAACCTTGATAGTAATAGAACCCATCGTGTGCGAGTTCTTTTACAACGATGGCTGACAAGTAGCCGCCATGTCGGGTATGGCTCGTTATGTGGATGAACATAATGAATGCAGAATTAGAATTCGTCGGGAGGGATTCAAAGGAGTGATTCTTGGCGAGTTTAACCTCTACAGTTAAGGAAAAATTGTCTATGGTGTTTGATGGTCGCACGAATATAAGTGAAATTTACGGTATCTATGAAAGTTGAAGACGATTGATGACTGAGTCAAATAAAAACTGCTGCCTATGGTAATATTAACTACTAGCTTTTCGCCCGTGGATTCGCTCGCGTTGAAGTCCTTAAGTAAATATCTTTCTTTAAAAAATATACAGCGTGTCGTTACCACCGCAACAATAAATGAACACATGTCTACTACTTGTCAATAATCATAAAAAATAGAAACGTTAAAAAAAATCATAAATTAAAAAAAATATTTTTCAAACACTAATTAAATAAAAAAAAGAAACAAAATTTGTAACATCCTGTACAACTACAACTGACTGATTCATATATTCAGAGACATTTTCATTGGTTGCCACAGCGTCGCATTACAAATCTCTCCTTCTAACAGTATGTTTTATCTCTTTTAAATTCATTCAACTCATTCATAGGCTTTGTGCCCTTTACAAATGAACTTTACCTTACAGTTTTATACGTAAGGGTGTTCTAAAATTGTTTTTTTTTTTGGAAAAATTTTATAACTCGGTAAATATTGATGTTTAAAGAATGTAAATGCTTCAATACAATTTTAAAAAGTTATCCTCTATATGTGTGTTCATTTATTGTCGCGGTGGTAAAGACACGCTGTATATACATTTTTAAAGAAAGATATTTTCAACCCTTTACAACACTTTTTTCCAAGTAAAAAATAGCCTATATCCTTGCTCAGGCTCCAAACTATCTGTGTACCAAATTTCATGTTAATTGGTTCAGTGTTTTTACTTGAAAGCGAGACAGACAGAGTTCGCATTTATAATATTAGTATGGACTGCAAGAGAATAACGAACATGATAATATTTGTAATGCTTTGCTGGTTTGAAATAGAATTTTCATTGGGCGATAGAGAACGCTTGACATAGCGAAGGCAAAAAAATCCCACACTAGTGTGACCTGTGGCGTGAGGCCGGCCTGAGATGGCCGGTTGAAGCCGGTAATCGTAGTTAGTGGCATTTTCCACACGTAAAAATAAAATGTAAATATATTATGTATAATACTTTTTTTTAAACATTGCCCTTACTTTAAGATAACATTAGCCTGTGTTGTAAGAACGTTTTATAAAACATAAATTTCACGTGGACAAACACACAGATGCGAAACACCTATCTGTGGGTCACACAAATAGTTGTCCAGTGTGGGAATCAAACACACGACCCCCGACGCCAAGGCCAATACCTTGGCAACTGCGCCACGTAGACATCAAATTACACTATTGCACCACCTTTTTTTTTGTTTTGGTATCGGGGGTGAAATCTTCAAAAGATACCCCACATAACCCTGTCACTTGACATGACAGAGTTATGTGGGGTTCTTACCCATTAAAACCCCCTCGCTGGCCGCCTTCCGTACATTTGGAGGGACTCCGGGATCTCCCATGGAACGCACCGGTGTCTCTCGGTACTACGCCTGAGCACGCCTCGGAGAAGGATAAAACCTTCTCCGATCCCCTCACCCTCTTGCAGCAACACGAGACCACTTCGTGCTGCTGCCCATCCGTGGCCCCTTTTAGTCGCCTTTTACGACAGGCAGGGGATACCTTAGCCCTATTCTATGAGCCCGGGACTACAGGGCTGCTTATGTGCATACATATGTATATGCGGCAGACTAATGCGCCACCTACCACGTAATAAACTTTCCTTTACGCCATTGCTTGCCTGGAAAGGATCGCTACGAAGCGATGAAGCCGCCATTGTGCATTCCATTACTATTACTAACTTTTTTTTATGTGAAAAGTCCCCAAGGAGCAGGCGGTTCACCCGATGTTAAGTGAATACCGCCGCCCATGGACATCTGCTACACCCGAGGGTTACAGACGTATATTCATATTACAAAGCCCAATTTTCAAACGGTGACAACCTTTTGAAAATTGGGCTTTGTAATATGAAAACCATATTACTGATGTTAATTATGTGTATCCTTTCATTTGTTGTGGACAATAAAACTAATCATTCATTCATTCATTATGCTTCATTCATTCATTTAAGATGCCGATACCTTGTTGAGCAGGTGCTGTGGCAGCAGCAGTTTCACGTAGTCTGGCAGGGCTCGAACGGCATCCTCCAGCGAACCGGAGCGCCTCGACTCTTGCAGCTTGTTGCTGTCCGTGCTGAGAACCAGCATCTTCGCCTCGCCGTTCTGCACGGAACACTGAAAACGACCGAGTGTTGTATAACATTAGTTAAGAATAGTACAATGGTTGTGTCGTTGGAAAGATAAGTTTCTTTGGAAACACAGTCAAAAGATACCACTTATTTGCTTTTTCTTGTTTAGAATGATCTAAAATGTGGAATTTTAGTTGATCTGTTTATGATTCCCAATGGTTTTAATTTATAGACTTGTATAAAATAACAGCCTAATGCAATATTCTAACACGTGCATCTCTAGCACCTCTATAACTTTATTTATATAGATAATAAAGTATTCACTGACGGCGAGGGGCAGGTGTTTTCTCACTGCCTGCTCCCGCTCCTCTGCGGCGGCGATAGCGAGCCTCGCTGCGCACATCTTCCTCTCGCAACGCGCCGCCAACTTCTGCAACGTGACGGTGAAACATTAACATAAACATGGGTCGTAAAAATAGTTCTCGTGTGGGAAACGAACTCACGAACTTGACAACTCCTCCACGGAGTCACACAAGTGGCAGTAACCGACACGACTAAGGGACCTTCAACAAGTGAGCCTATTCTGGAGTGACTCCATGGACATGGACATTTGCAACACCCGTAGGTTTGCAGATAAGTTGCCACCTTTCATAAAGTGTGCGCCGGTTATCTCACTCTCCACACGAAACGCAGAAGCACATAATATAACACATCCACTTCACGTCAGTCTTCTTGAAGGTCGTGATACTTCCCAGGACGAGTACTAGAGTACTACGACTGCCTACTAGTGGAACAGCGGAGGCAACTGCGTGGCCGCACTATTGCGGGATCGAGAAAAATTTCGAGATGAAAAAAACTTACCAATTTCAAGTGATTGATAATAACAGGTCACTTAAACGTTATCCAAGTGGCCTTTGAGGAGGTTGCGAGATTTAAGTTTGTAAGACTTTAACTCAATAAAATCATGCACGGGATGACAGGGCATGCAAAGCTGCAGGCATGGGGGTGTCTGCTCCAGATAGGACTCGTGAGGGGTGCCGCCCTAATTGTACACGCACAGCACCATTATCACGGAGTGGGTGTGTTAATAGTGTGTGAGTGAGTGAGTGTGGTGGAGAAGAGGTAGATTGCGTCGTCGTGTTCCCGTGTACCCGGCTAATGCGATTGTGCACGTGCAACGTGGGTATTTTTAATGGGTATCTGTTCTGTCCGGAACTCGCACATACCACAAAGTTCAAAAGGCCCAATTTCAAAAAGAGTTGTCAACGCACCTGCAAACCCTCGGGTGTAGCAGATGTCCACGGGCGGCGGCATTCACTTAACATCAGGTGAACCGCCTGCCCGCTTGGCAACTCTTCAGGGGTATGTGAAAGATCCATAAAGAATTATTCCCACGCCAAAACAACAGGGTGTGCAAAATACTTTTGCACGCGCGCGTCATCTATCCATCCGGGCGCACCTGCAGCTCGGCGAGGGCGTTGTTGGCGGTGAGCCTCAGCGCGCAGTTGTGCTGGTGCAACGCGGCCGCCTCCCGGTTGCGCCGCTCCAGGCTCTCCTCCAGCATCAGCCGCTGCTCGTGCGCCGTGCGGAGGCTCTCCTGAGCGACCTCCTGCAACGGCGGGTACACGTAAGCGTAAAAAGTAAACCGATTCCCAACTCCCATTACATATTTTTACCAGACGTCGTAGTCTTGTCCGCAAATGTTGAGAACCCAAATAAAAATGGAATAGAGTAAAAAGAGGGATAATAGGACACTTTTATACGGCGGCCGTCGTGAGCGCTTGACCAGCATCAACGTATAAAATAAATGAATATTTCATTTTCCACTTCACCCAAGTCATGGTTAACATAAACAAAGCGAAATAAAATTAATATTTAGATATTTTTACAGAACTTCATCTAGTACCACAACTGAGCAAAGCTGGTGCTAGTCGAATATACTTAACATATATTTATTTTAGGTAAATATGTAAACAAATGCAATATCTTTTTGGCATGTTTATTTTTAAACTATTAATCCACAATTGAATTCACAATCTGAGTGGGCCACGGTTACGTCACTCCAGACGTAACACATCCACTTGACGCCGGCCTTATTGGCTCGTCACCGGACGGACCCCACCCACACGTGCAACGGCGAAGACCCGGCGTGACCCTTTAAGCGTTAAAGCGCTTTTTTTACGTCAAAGCGCTGCCCCAACGCAGCCCCGGCGGCGGTACCTGGTAGTTGCGCTTGTCGGTGAGCAGCTGCACCACGTGGTGGTGGTCCGGCTGCTTGCCCGCCGCCAGCATCGCCTCGAGCGTGTGCACCCTCGTGAGCAGCCGCTGCTCGCCCACGAACAGCTCCCACGACGCCTGCGCGTCGGCGCGCGTCCTCTCAACGCACTCGCGCAGCGTCCGCAGCCTGCCCTCGAGCGACGCCTCGCGCTGGACCGCCTCCTGAGCACGAAACGTTTTTTTTTTTTTTTTTTTTTTTTAATTTCATATGTATATACATTTTATATAAATTCATATTTTTCACCACCTCTCACGTGGCTCTTTCGCACCTCCTTGTTCTCTCTACTTATTTGTCGGTTGACTGGTAGAGAACACCTAATGGTGTTAAGTCCGCCATTGTACGTTGTATGTGCAACAAATTTTAAATAAATAAATAACATTTTTTTTATTACAATAAATTATTATTATTAATAAATTATAGTTTGTTTTTATTATAATATTAAAATTTTTATAACTCTTACTTTAGGCTACTATAATTTATATACTTTCCTTTTTTCCTTCCTTTTTTTTAAGGTTTTGCAATAAAGCATAAATAAATAAATAAATACTTTATGTTTTGTGTTGTAAGGACGTTTTACAAACATAAATTTCACGCGGACAAACAAACACCCGGATGCAACAATTATCTGTGGGTCAAACAAACAGTGACCTTGGCACGTGCGCCACGGAGCAATCCAGCACCGCAATGGTGCTGGATGGAGCAGTGGGTGTGTTTTAAATCACAATCATTTACGCAGTGCGTACTTAGCAATCATTCATTACGAAAACAATAGCAAGAAAATGGGAGTTTGTTTAATAACCACATCGCACGTTGATTTTATCGGAAAATTAATTACTCGTGATAGACATTTTTTGTGGATTTTTGTGGCTTTTGATAGCTTTTTGCAGCCACCATGTTCGGAAGACGAGGCAAATAAAAATAATTGTAATAATATTATTTTTCAATATTGGTAAACATTAGGTTGAAAATCAACTATACTCCGTAATTCAATATTACGTTTCGTTTTTGTTTCTTTTATAAAAAGCTCTTCATTTCAAAGACTATGTAGCCCAAAAATGTTAAATGTCACAATTGAATTTACTCTATATTAATACTGCAGTTGCCATCATTACCACCCTTTCAGCCTACTCCGTTCCAATGCTTAACATAGGCCTACCACAGACTGCCGCAAAGCACGACACTGGGCAACTGAATCCATCGACTACCCGCACATTTGGACAGTTCGACCCCAAGAACCATCTGCGTTACCTGAACGTAGTTGTTGAGCTGGTACAACTCTTTCAGGTGCAGTGGGGTCGTCATGGTGGGGTTGAAGGAGAGCTTCGCCTCCTTCCCGTCCGGGTGGTACAGTTTGAGCAGGGCAACCACCGGCGGAAACGTGTTCTGCAATCAGCGAACAATACAAAACATGAACAAAACCAAATTCAACCATATGTCTATAAGCGTAAGTGTGAATATAGAAGATAGTGTCGAAAGCTTTTTCGGCGCTGCGGGATTCGAACCCGTGCCTTCTTGTTCGAACTTGGGTAACTCACCCAGACTCTACGAAAAAAAAAATTAAAACGCATATAAAATTCCTTTATCAACTGTAACTTTACTTTTGGTTAAGGTTTTGTATTACTGAAACCTGCAGTTATTTTTAATATAAATGATAAAAATTAATATTTTATTTCAATAAAATTACTGTCACTATTGTTTTTATTCGTAACTGCGTGTATGCGCCTGACGTAATTGTTTAGCATATATTTTTTAATGCTAATAAATTATGCGAGACGCATATTGAGATATGGACATTGACATGAAAATATGAGGTTTCTGTAAGGAAAACGTTATTTTTGTTACAATAATCGGCATTTTTAAACATAATAAATAAATTTTAGATAACCACAAAAGTGGTTTTCATCCCTTACGGATAGGCACATACGCGTATGTCGTGAGTTACGGATTCGACTCTAGGTTATCTATCTCTAATTTAATAAGTACTTTGTATTTCGCACAAATAATTGTTATGGATCCGTTACGTTACGTTACATTCACGTGCATTTTTTATTCAAACGGATAAAAAAATTATTAACAGTATAGTAGATTCGACTAAAGCCCGATTTACACTGGTCAAGTGTTTAGTGAAGTAAATAAGTACAGTGGTGTAAACCATCGGACAGTAGCTAGTCAACTTGGTTTGCAAGCTGCCTTACTACTAGACCTAGAATCGCTTTCAATTTTTTGCAAATGCACCTCTCGCGCCTGAACTTCCTACGAATCACTTGACTCTTCACTTGCCGTAATGTAAACAATCAAAATAGTAGAACGGCAGGCAAAATTTAACGTATTTTTTGACGTTACTCGTCCATTTCGATTGAGAAATGGCAGTCCCATTTCTTGCTGCTGTGTAAACAGCATTTGTCCCGTGCCCGACACTGGCCACTGGCCTCTATACTTGTACTTGCTACGCGCCACTATTCTTGACCAATGTAAATCGGGCTTAAGGTTCTAGTCCAAAAAACGAGGAGACTGACGATGGTTAGGTATTACCGTCTCGTTAGATACAAAGTCAAAATGTCTCAGTACAGCTCCGAACAACGTTCTTTTTCGACTATTTGAATATACAATTCTTTAAATTATCATCTATTTAATTAGATTACAATATTTTCTGTACTCGACGATACGCGTGCATAGCTTGCGTATATGATTAGATTACATGGTCAATCAAAAGTGTTGCCGACAGTACCTTTTCCGAATTCCCTGCATTCTCAACTACGGGAATGCCGAACTGGACCACGTCTCCGGAGAACACCTCCTGCGGCTCGAGTTCCGATATGGAACAGCGTTTATTGTTGATGAATGTACCGTTGCTGCTTTGATTGTCCTGCGAAATAGAAAACGGCCACACGTACAATCGCGTCGTCGACCAACATGAATTCGACCGCGAATAAACTACAGACACGTACACTCGAACTGTCAACGGACAAATAAACGGAGCGTGTTTACAATTTGCCATGCGCTTTGTTTGTTTGTTTGCTTCACCGATCGAATTCTTTTGGAGCGAAACTTGATTCGAATACAATGATCAATACCGATCAGCAATATTCAATGTCGAATTCTTTCAATTAATTTGAGTGACATTTCGAACCACTTTGTTCCAATATCGAATGAAGATTGAAAACGAAACTAATGCAATGAGAACAAACGGTCTCTGTAACTCACGTAATCTTTGGGGAACTTCTTTTGTTTAAGCAAAACGTAAGAAATACTAAACGTAGTGCTGTGTGATACAATGAATAAAAGAATGACTAATGTTCATCAATATAGGTACCTATATATGAATTTTATAAATGAACCTTTGTATCATTGAAAAATAAATTGTATAATCTAATTTTTTCCACAAAGGCTTCCCGTATTACATTTACACAACCCAACACTCGTTTTGTGTCTCACATTCGCCGAACAATTACATCTATAACATCATTAAATATTTCGTCCCTACTCCTAAGATCTTAACCACCCCGTAAAAGATAAATTGCGGCTTCTCTTTCTACAGGGTATGTCCAATAAAACTGACATTAATAATATTTAACTAGCTTATTACCAGTTAATTATTAGCAAGTGTACCGCGGTGATTACTTTCGGTGCCGGGGGTCGTGGGTTCGATTCCCTCGCGGGACAACTGTATGTGTAACCCACAGACAGTTGTTTTGCATCTGGGTGTTTGTCCGCGTGAAATTTATGTTTGTAAAACGTTCTTACAACAAGATAATGCTAGCCTAAAGTAAGGGATTTAAAAAAAAAAAAAAAGATGAAAAAAGTAAGATTCGTTTCAACAGTACGAACTCTGCGACTAACTCGGAATCAACGCTACCCGCAATACGCCGTAAGGACATGCGAAAATACAGAAAAAAGCCAAGGTACTAGGTATGGAACATTCGAGAATCGTACTATCTGCTGTCCGCCTACACTTCGTCAACAAACTATTTCCTAATCTCTTCGCTGTTCCATATTCAAACTTTTACTATTCGACATTCAAACGAGCGACACCCACGGTGGCGGGATTTGGAAACCAACACGGAGACCGTGCCCAGACAAAGAGGCGATACCATCGCTTTGCATTTGAATAATGCCTCGATGCATAGAACTATTATAAGAATGCGGGGTCGTTATAGATTCTTCTAAGTACCGACGCAATGTATTCAATGGCCGCAGACTGCGCGAGGTCACATGACCAATACTAATGCACTCTTTCTCGATCTCTGAGGGGAGGACTAAGAGGTAAGGTTTCGACGATAATTACTTCTTGTATTGACGCTAATGCTGGATTTTGTTTTATATGGAACCATTTTATTGCTTTCAATTTAATATTGAGCTATCGTGTTTTTAACAATTTATGCAATTCATAAAAGTCCATCTAGTTACTACGTAGACGGTTGGTTGGTCAGTTGTTTGAAAAAAATAAATAATTATCTAATATGTCTGGCAGTCTAAATTAACAGATAATCATCGATATTTGATAGCGTTTGTTGTGAAGGTGCCCCACCTTAATAATATATCCCTAATCAGGGGAAGCACCGTGGTCTAATGGAAGAACGGCATAAAATAGATGTGTTTATGTTTATTACTTTCGTCTGGTAGTTAGTGGCCTTTTAAAAATTGGTAATGCAAATAACTCACGGTCTTAGGTGCAAGAATTCAATTATTAATTTTCCACTTTCATGATAATTCGATATACAAACGTTGCATTATTTACAGCGGCGAAATCAAACGATAAAAAAGACATAGCAACATACGATGAACACAATAAACACAAATCTAAATCGACGGATACAGCGAATATGATACGGAACTAAATCGTGTAATCGCAATCTATGCATTTCCGCGGCATGACGTTCGCTCTATTACAGTGATACTGAGCGGTCATTTGCAACCAGAACAAAGAATACAAATAAATTTTTCACCCGACTTCAAAAAAGGAGGTTCACAGCTCCATGATTTACGAAAAGTTCTTTTTGCACTGGGTTCGGTTTAGCTCCCACATGGTTCCATATAATTTATTGACATTGCACCTTTGAATGCGGACATCAGGGAACATTTCAAAATCCAAAAGAAAATGTATAGTGAGTAAGATATTTAATGTAACATCTGATTTTTTTTGTTACTGAAAATGTTTTACGTACTTGTATTAATTATTCTTCGACCTCAAGTCGATCACGTACGGGCTGTCGCGTTGCAGTGTCGACGACAGCTGATCATGGTCGACACACGCGTACAATACCATGTTATACATATTTCGTCTCTATATAATATTATACTCAATATAATATTCAAATACGAGTCGCATCGTAAATATCGAGAGACAAAAGGTATCGCGTGCCGCCAATTAAAACACAAGTACAAGCTCTGGTTGAGTTTTTTTTTATTTATTTAGGAAGTGACGAGGTGTAAGGCTAAATTGGAGGCTATGACTCCACGAGATTAGAGTGAAGTCGACACTTTCGTGTATAACGCTAAAGGGTCAAATCTCACGAATACTCACCTGATGCCAAAGTAAAATTAAAAAATAAGACACAATATTTTCCCTGAGTCTTTTCAAGCACGCACGATGGGCGAAAGAAAATCAGTATACAAATATAAGTGTTTTCATGGTAAAATAATCGATACATCTTATTGTTATTACTATTTTTAAAAGATATAAATGGCGAGATGCATTGACACCTTTTGAAAATTGGGCTCCGGTCACCACCAGAGGAAACGCGAAAGCTTTATACTTCAACTTTACGTCGGTTTTCTGTGATTTCGTGGTACTTACCCGGACGAGCCTGCCCATTCGTGCAACAGCCGAGGCTGCTGCGTGGCCCTACCACCGATAAGTTAAACCTTAGGTTACCTACCTTAGGTTTAACTACTTTTCTGAAATAAGGTTAGCTTAAAATTGTTTATGTAACATAAGGTATTAAGTATAATCGTTTTTGAGAACATTTCCCTAATTTTGGAATCAATATTTTTTTATAAAAGCAATTTGCAGAAAACTTACAATATCATATTTATGTCAATTAGCTATTCTAAATAACTCTCAGTCCGAGTTCGGATTGTACTAACAAAGGAAGTATGTTTCAAATACTTTTTGTTAAATATTTAAGTGATGTCATGCCAAGCCTTAAAAGATCCTAAGGCAAATATGGTCTAAATGAGATTCTTTATAGATCAAGCAATATAAGACGTCATAGTATATATATGTAGTTAATGACGCATAAAAATATTGCTCAGCTAGTGGCTAAACTCATATTAAATAAGTTTAATGAGAAAATATATGTTAGTATGCGCATGGTAATACATATAGACTCAAGCTTTTTACCCTGGCAGGCTGATATCGGGGACTGAAGCCCCGTCGATTTTTTTATATGAAAAGTTGTCAAGGGGGCAAACGGTTCAACCGATGTTAAGTGAATACCACCGCCCATGGTCATCTACAACGCCCGTTGTCTTGCAGAGGTGTCGAAAATTAAGAAAAATGGCTCAGTCACCAGACTATACGCGAAAGTTTAATACTTCCAATTCACGCCGACTTTCCGTGGGTCGTGGTGCTGAATCCGTGGTATATCGGACGCGCCTGGCCACGCAACAGCAGAAACTGTTGCGTGACCATACCACCCTACCACACATTATTATCGTCGCACATACGACAGAGTCGACATACTGCCACACCCACACCTAGAGAGCACCGCGACCCACCCCTTCTCCTTAAGGACACCTACTCCGAGAGCTACTGCGATCGGAACAGACCAGTGAAGGCGGTTTGGTTTTCCTCTACACCTCTAGTGTTGCGCCATGTACTGTCACAAATGCAGTTGCTACACTCATTGATAGGGCTAGCCCGTTTGCTAATCACTCTTTTTATGTGAGAAGGTGAACCGCCAAGCGAGCCGGTGGTTCATCTGCTGTTAAGTGATAACCGCCTTTTAAAAATGTGGGGACCTGGCTACCTCACTCACCAAACGAAACGCAGAAGTTATAAATTTTCCACTTCACGCCGATATTCTGCGAGGTCGTGGTACTTCCCCGGACGGACCTGCCCATTCGTGCAACAACTGTTGCGTGGCCCCATGGCCACAGTTAAACCTCACCACAGACCAGCCTTCTGCTTGTTTATTAGAAGTTTTAGATTACGCCCGAGCAACCAGGACCACGAGGCTGAAGTATATCTATCGATCGCCGATTTCAACTTTCCACGATCCTTGCGCGTGTTTCATGCTAGGATCGTGCTTTCTCTCTTTAATAAGATAATATTGTAAAATAAAACATGTAATATCCGTGATCATCATAAAGTTGTATATTCGAACAGAAAAATGCAAATATATTTATTTAAACTTCATCAAGAAAGTTAATTATGATAATTATGTATAACGATGAAAGTAAATATACGGTAATATAAAAACATACTTTTAATGTATAGATGACTAATTATTGAAGATAGTGTCCGGGCCGCATTCTTTTATTTCAATATACTCAAGCGACCCGAGTTCAAATTCCAATGCCAGAACAATTCGAATTTTAAGTGCTGACTTATCAAATGATCAGCAGCGAACGAAAACATCGTGAGGAAATCTGCATATTTTATAATAAATAATATCTAATAAAAAAAAATACGAAGATATGTGAATTCTGCCAATCCGCGGAGCGTGATGGACTATGATGGCCTATAACCCTTTGTATGCCCTGTGAAGAGGCATTTTCCAGTAATGCGACATATACAAGATATAATTTTTTTGCAGATATATAAACATCCAGGCACTAAGGAAATACTGATCATCAATTAATTGTTTTGTGGTAGGGCCATGAAACAGCTTCTGCTGTTGCACGAGCGGGCAGGCTTGTGCGGAGAAGAACCCTCACAGAAGGCCACCGTGAAGTGAAAGTGTTGTACATACTTTCGTTTTCGTGAGTGAGCTGACCGTCACCAACTTTTTTAAAAGTTGTCAACGCATGTACAAGCCCTTTAGGTGTTGCAGACTCCACTTAACATCTGGTGAACGCAATTATAACAATTTTTACCGCAATTATAACCATTTAAAAAAAATTAAGAATTTTCCAGTAGTGGGCATAAAACCCACAACCTTCGGTGCAATAGGCATTTTTACTACGCCAATCACGTCAAGCACCTAGTTCAATCTTTGTAATTCAAGTTGCGAACCTAGTTAAACCTCATTAAAAATAGTCGCGATCAAAACGTCTTCTGGTACTCGTTGGGCGTAGAGATATAGTAACAATAATGAAACAAATGTATTTAAAAATGGCCTTTGTGTGGTCTTATTAAAATTATTAAAAAAAAACAATATCGCGTTAAAGTTAAAAAAAAAACGAATTGAAAATGATAAATTAACTGAAAAGAAACGATTTAAATGAATAACAAGAATATCTTGTATCAACAGCCTTTGCCGTCGGATAATCTATGCAAACTCGTCGTTTCAAGTAGACGACCTTCGTGGCCGTAATATTTGTGGCACGTTTCAAATAGAGAACGTCAGTTAACAAAAACAATTCGCTTAATAACAATGTATAAAACATGCCGAAATCACGTTTCGGAATTAAGACTTTTATATCACTCAGACTGCGCGTAGTTCCTTGACTGGATTTGTAATATTTTCTTATATTAACGGAGTATGCGGCTTACGATACCGCACTGAATTCTAAAAATTAACGAAGTATTTTTTTTTTCATAGTAGTTACTCTTTATTAATGATTGCGATTACTCTATACTATTTCTTACTTATTATATGTATATATAAAAATTTAGCTTTCGTATGTTTGTGTTCACCAAATTCATAAACTATGCGATGATTGATTGACTTGATATCACAACATAGCTATTGAACAGGAGAGTGTTTATATATACTTATTGTACCGAAGTTCTAAAGGAATCGAAAAAGGCCACAGAGAGGTGTGGCCATGTTCAAAAATAAAAATCAAATATTATACTGCCTATTGTCTATGGATCAACCAATTTCTATGTAGATGCTGAGATATGACTAAATCGCCGATCCTGTGTTAACTATCAGGTTATAGTAGACTTATAAAAATTAACTATGCCAAAGGAAGCATAGATTAAATTGCGGAAGGTTTTTATTTTTATTTTTTAAATTAACAAACGGGCGAAGTCACGGATAATATTTGGCCGTAAAACGAAATTGATAATGACCATATTTGGATATGAAAAATCGTAAGTGGCGTAGCGAGTGAGAGTGGAACCGCTTCACGTCTAAAAGTCTAAACATAGACAAGCCAATAAGGCTCTTTCATAATAGTTACACGCGTGAACGGATGATGTAAGATTAGGGTGGTAACACACTAAACATAGTATGTTACGTTATGTCTGGGGGTTCCGTATAAACATGATTATTATGGATTTTTAGTGAACTTGTACTATGGATTAAAAAAGTTCTTGTCGAACTTAATGGTTCCAGGCCCGCGAGAAGTACATTGTAAGTTTTGAAGTGTGTGTGCGAATGGAAAAATGTGCGACAAAAATGAACAATGCCTTAATCGCATTGATGCGAATATTTAATATTGTACATCGCGAAGAGACCCTAGACCTCGGCGTTTGACATAAATATTCCCCCCGTTCCCGAGTAAAATTAGACGGGTAGACAGGGAGACTAGATGTCCTGGATCGATCATCACATTTCTATTGCACTTATGCCACCTAGGTGGACTCGACACATGTGAATTATGTAAGTGGCTTTAGCTAGATTTTTACCACCGGCCGTCTGACGTCAACCGTCTTGACAACAAACGCTCAAGATCCGAAACAATATCTGCGGGTCACATAAATATTTGACTCGTGTGGTAATCGAACTCACGACCCCGGCACCGAAGCTTATAACTTAGGACCTGCATCACCGAGTAGTCCTAAATCATTTTCCAGATTAGGTTCACATGAGATTGCCATGTATATAAAGTAAATGGCAAACCTGTGTCTGCTCTCAGCTCAACAACTAGGTAATTGTATATGAAGATCTGAGCGCGTGGCCAAGTGGTAAGTGCCAGATTGCAGCATTCCATGTGTAATACACACATTTTCGCTTCTATTTGTATTAGAATAAATCGCAATCACGTACTTTACATTACAATTTACTACTGAGAATAGCAGCCAAGCGCTGGCCAATATTTACATGAAATCACTCGAAAACATCGATAAGGATTAATTAGCATTAATTTCGTTTATTTACGAAGTTACAATCAAAGACTAAAGACAATAGAATTCTAGTTAACAAATAAAGTATTTGTACGGTACCTTGGCTGATTAACATATCTGAGCAAGCCTGTGTGATTAATAATGATTAGTTATATTTATAGGCTTCGTTTTCAATCAATATAGGTCGGTAGAGTAAACGATTTTATGTTCTAGTGTTAAAGTTGCCGCTAATTTTGTTTCCCGAACGTGCTCGACGAATGCGCTACGCTAGGTCGAGGATACTCGTATAATTTATGTTAAACAAGGAGAATCAAGAAAGTTGATGATAATTTTATGAATCAGGTGAAGTTTCTTATTACATCCCTGTTATATAAATGTTAAGAAGAAACTGCGTAGAGGGAAAAATACTTCTTCATGTTTTCCTGATTGAATTAGATACCACTTTAATTTAAATTTAGTTGTTTATGGTCACGGTTATTTCTATTATCTTTCAGATTCTATTATCATTCGTGAAATAAAAAGACAGTAGACAGTAGGACAAAAGTATCGGAACAGTTTTAAGAATTGGGATATATTATTATAGTAACATATGTAAACTGTTTTTTTTGTTTTAACTATTATCGTTACCTAACTTTGGATAAAGCTTATAACCTGAAAAATTTTGCACCGAAATAAAATTTACGACTGAGGTTTAGCACGCAATAGATTCTGCTGTTGCTTTATTTCGCCGGGGAAGACACCACAGCCTCACAGGAGACCAGCATGAAGTGGAAGTACTATACTTTCGTGTTTCATCCGGTGAGTGAGTTAACCGGGGCCAAATTTTTTGTTGTTGCTAACTGTAAGCTTTCAGACTTTGGACTTGACTATGTGCGGCTGTAATGACCTTTCAGGTTTACCGCCAACTTTTCACATAAAAAAAAAACAATATTTTGCCGCTCAAAGTAATCCAGCAAAGACAACGAAGCTAACAAGAATGTTTTATTCTTTTGAAAGAACTCGTTCTAGGTCCGGTACCTAAACTGTTCGCGTGCAAAGCTAACTATAGGGGTGCGACTTGCGAGGAAGAAACCTTATAAAGGCAAACGGTAAAAATGCGCAATAGCTGGAACGTGATCCGACAGTTTAAATGATAACTAATTGTTAGGTTAAACGTTAAACGTTTAGGAAGTGGTATAAGGAAAATGCTAATATCGCAATTTAATAAAGTTTTCGAAATTTAACAGAAAAAAATATCATCATCGACCTTTCATTGAAGAGAAATGTGATAGTATATAAAGTATTCACAAAGATTGAGATGCTTTTAACGGTTTCCTAAAAACAGCTCACATAGTTAAGGAATTAAAAAAATGCCTAATATAATGTTACTTATGAAATCAAGGACCAACATGTGTAGAGATAACTCATACGGCGCTTGCAAGCCCACTGACTTGAAATGTAGAATGACTTGTAGATAAACTAAAGGCCCATTTACACGATGCCATTTTCTTGTACATACAAGAGCAATAATTGAATGCAACAAATTGCGCGCAATAATTGTTAAGACCATTTATTGTTTAGACCATACAACTCATTTATTGCTTCAATTTAATTGTATACAACAGGCAAGAAACTGGCACCGTGTAAATGGGCCTTTACTCTTTAACTAACTAACGAAATCTTGTGCGATCTCCTCCCAGTTTTATGCGTTCAGGGCGCGAAGCACTTATAGATAAATGCATTATAACTTTTGGCACCGCAGGTGTTGAACCTGCGTTTTCTGGATGAAGCGTCCAGAAGACGTAGGTTCGATTGACATGAGCACAGAGATTAGCACTGAAAATAAATATTAATCCTAAAAGCTCCCTGGCTGTACGAAATTTTATAGGAGAATTTTTATTATTATTTTATCTTTAGAAAAAAAGGAATAAGTACAACAGAGATCCTGGTGTTTTTCTCTGTACAAGTCGAAATACAAATCAATTTTGACGTTCATAAAGCATATAGAAAAAATTGGCTAAAGTGACCTTGACACGTGATTTCTAATTAGACCTTTTTTTTTTTTATGCGAAAAGTTGTCAAACGAGCAGACGGTTCACCTGATGTTAAGTGAATAGCGCCGCCCATGGACATCTGCCACACCCGAGGGTTACAGATGCGTTGACAACCTTTGGAAAATTGGGCTCCGGCTACCTCACTCACCAGACGAAACGCGAAAGTATTTGTCATACTTCCACTTTACGCTGGTCTTCTGTGAGGTCGTGGTACTTACCCGGACGGGCCTGCCCATTCGTGCAACAGCCGAGGCTGCTGCGTGGCCCTACCACCGCAAAATTCACCACCTTGATTCTAATTAGAAATCACGTGTTCATTAAAATAACTTTGAAAATATAATTACAATTACAATTACAAAGCACAACTACAAATACATTTAACAGAAATTAATATTTTATGCCTTTGGCTTCCAAAAAGAAAATTGTCTCCGAGAGGAAAATGTAAGATTACGATGTCAAAACATATCAGTGACACATCGCGCGGAGAAAACACTACGTCAACTTACCACGAGATAGAAGTGTCCTTTGTCATAGTAGAGGGTGGCGTGATGCCGCGAGAGGACTCTACATTCGAAGATCGTGTTCGTAGGTGTTGGTGTCGCCCGATATACGTTTCGACCAATCTGGAAAAAACCAAAAGACGATTAAAAAACAAAAACATTAAACTTTACATAATTAAGTAAGTAATTTAGTAACGAACTGAATGGATAGAATGGATGAGAAGGCATAGAGTTTACAATAAAATATCAACCCTAAGGCCTACATTTGGAAAGGCAATTTTTAGAACCCATTAAAAACCTCTTAAACCAATATTAAAAAAATCAACATAAATACTTTAAATCGTTTTCTTTATGTATAAGGCTTATCATACATAGTATAAAAAAGTCGTCCCGCTGTCTGTCTATCCCTATGTATGCTTAGATCTTTAAAACTACGCAACGGTCATATGATTTCTGGCAATGTTTTCTTGACTCCCGTGGGGGTAATAAATCAGAACCTTAAACCACAATTTGAATGAAGCTGGCTTCGAAATATAGATTCAGATTTCTACAGGTGAGTACAAAAGTACAAGGAAAACCTCTTTATCCATGTATTAGACGTTTTGCTTTATTTACATATAAAATGAAACAATTAAAATCGAAGGGTCAATTCATGCTTCGTACTTAAACTTTCTCAAATTAAGGTTTAACATGTTTAATTAATTTCTGTTACACCAGGGAATAGAACTTCGATATTTGATTTCTGTTGAACTCCATTAGACAATACGTTCAAAACCAAGACAATACTGTTGAAAGTAATAACGATAATGTTATGGATTTAATTTCATTCGCATTTCTACTTCAGATGAACAATCTAGATTCTATTTCATGAGAGCCCATGTCCATAGGAGCATACGATCGGGAATTAATCGTACCTAAGACACGATATAGGATACAGAACTGAACGTCATAGGCTATGAATGAGTAGTTTTATATATTCTCCCTTGATCATTAAGATAGAACACATCGCTGCCTCAATCGACTTATTTACGTAAACCGGATGTCCGTCTACAGTCTTAAAGCATTAATGAATACATTGCATGAATAAATATAGATAAATCACTAGTAACAATATTCAATGTACAACTCGGGGAATTAGCAGAGACGTTGATTATTTTTTTGGCTTCGATTAAAAGAAAGATTCTTTGACTGCAATCCCTAATTCTGAGATGGAAGACGAAGCGTGATATGAAAATATTATTTGTTTTTATTCATATCTATTCTTGCATCATATTCGTATCTATTCTTCTGAAGTTAAAGATTTTTTAAACTAACAGCACTTTATTTATATCTAACTTCGTATGGGATAGTAATCAGGCAATTTCAATTAAAAGAGAAGTTCTAACAGGCTTCGGAGCCGAATGACTTATGCTGTTTCGAGCGTAACTCAACGAAACGAAACTTCGGCGAGCGGTGTATATTGTATTGTTTCGCCACTAGGACCATATCGACAGAGCTGCTCGGAGCGGATATCTTGGATGGCCACTCGGCCTCTATGAATACCACACTTCCTGTGCCCGTACGCTGTGATAAGAAGCGACTTCCGCCGCGCGCGGGGTAGCAGATGCTCGGTTGGAAATAGCACAATTTAATCTCATTAAACTTAATTGCCAATGCACAATTGTGGCCGTCTCGGGCGGCACGGGTCACGCTGAGTCAGACACGCGTGCACGCACACGCACACGCGGCGCATGACTTCCATACAAAACGTTCGGGCCTAACTCAACGGACGGTGGCTTTGGCCGCCTTAACGAGACTTTGAACTCGACTAGATTCTTTTGTTGAGAAGTCGTTTTCCTCTTTATATGCTGCCACGCTTACAACAGATATGGGGATGATAATTTGCCTTTAAATGACTGCATTACTTATTAATATAATTAGATTTTCTGTGTTGTTTAGTAAATAAATTTCACAACAGAAATATCACAACATGGAATTTATTGCTGTCATTACAAAAATCAATCAGCAAGCAGGCAATGCATATGACGAAGTTATGATGGTATCAAGATACAAGATATATCAGAACCCCAAACATAAATTTATCTGTACTCCTGCTACCCATTAAACTATCATATAAATGTCTGAGCTATATAATTATACTTCACCGCAGTTAACTTACCACAGATTAGACAAATTGTGTACCACTCAATATTCTAATGATTGAATAAACTAAAAACAAATTTTTAACTCAATTTAAAAAAGGAACATTGATTATTTGTCTTTTAAGCAAACTTTTCCACGAACAGACATTTTGTGTCATTTGGGCCAACTTTTGCCCTTACTGTTTTATAAATGTATCTCCATGCCAAATATTTATATAAAACTAGCTGCTGCTCGCGACTACGTCTGCGTAGAATAGGCTGAAGGCGTAACATTCAGACGGAAAGACAGATATATATAAAATATGTATATAAATTATAGCCTATGTCTTATTCTGATTATATTATTGTAAAGTTTCATTAAAATCAATTCAGTTGTATTTGCGTGAAAGCACTAAAAACATCCATCCATTCATACAAACTTTTATGTCTATAATATTAAGGATTACACATGATTTTACTATCATATTAAGCAAACTTATACAAATATGTGTAGACAATTAAATAATTTCGCTACCTGTATGTCATTTATAGTTATATGCTAAAGATTTATGCATTGTAACATGCTCAAACACTTAAAGAGGACACCTTGTGCAAACTTTTTAGCATGAATCAAAACACAACTAGGTGAAGTAACTTAATAAAGATTAAAAATACATCTTAAGAGCATTACAGTAAGAATCGCACATGAACCACTTTGAAGGTATAATAATAACAGTGATAAATTGATACATATTGGACAGTAAACAGATAAGTTTTTATCAACTGTCTATTTCAATACTTGAAGATTAGAATGTACCAAATTTCTAGAATACTATTGGTAAATTGCAACAAGCAATATTGTGATGTTAAAAATAGTAACTTATGTCTAGAAGAGTAAATAAATAATTATGAAATCACTTATAAGCCAACTAGAATTAAATTTGAATGGTAAAACAATTTTCTACAAAAAATATTTTTCTTAAAATAAAAGGGATGAAAAAATAATCCATTATTTGTAAATAATGAAAACATAAATTTATGTAAGATTTTTATAAATGAATAATTCTGGAATACTTTGAAATATTATATTTTTATGAAGAATGATGTTATTATTATATGAATAAAGATTTAATAGTAAGTATGAATAGAACATAAAAAATAACATTACTTAACCTTCTAACAGCACAATTTATTCAAAATTTTAAAATTTCCGCTTTGGGAAACTGTTAATTATAAACAAGGATGTTCACTACATTGCAAAAGCCTTAAGCATGTAATAAGTTAGTAGATTACTTGTATATGTGTGTGCTGAGTACCAATATTTAAACTAAATACAGTTGCAATTTGAAATATATCATGTAGAGAGAAATATAAACAAAACATGACAATTGTTTTATATACCAATTATTAACATAAAGACAGTAAATAATTTTTGTGCTTTTCAATGTTTGAATTTCAGATTCATAGAATTTACATTTTATTGATAAAAAACAATATTTACCTTAATAGGTTGTTCCAATGTCACACGCCTTTCCTCAAATGGTAAAGAATTTGAATGAGGAATGAATAAGGCCCGAGGAACACCCACTTCTTGGTTGTTGGGAGGTTCCTGGCCTGAAGTCCAATTGTAATCCATATTTTTTATAGTATTGTTCATTTTTGGCTTAACTTTTTTACTCTTTGCTATCACCATCGCACACACCGCTCCTCAAAGTCAACATCAGTACTTCGTTTCTGATATGACGACGAACACATCGATGATTGGATCCAGCATTATTTCACGGTGAAAGGTGAACACTATTCACTGCCATATTGGGTATTCACTTGTCTCAACTAATAAAAGTAGTAAATTATAATCAAAAAGGTATCAGATACTTCCAACACCCATGCAAACATTTATAAAACTGCATAAATGAAACTTGATTCCTCTCCTCTCTTAGCCGTTCTGTTATAGTAATGTAAGAGTTTTCCAAAGAATTTCAAGAAGAAATTTAAAATATAATAGACGGTAGGTAATAAATATTACAACTCACATATGCCCATACATATTATAACATAACATTATGAGGGCGTTGATCGAAATTATCGTTCGAAGAACTTACGAAATGGGCGCACGAATCGGACATTTGTTTTGTTGAGTTGGGTTTTGTAATGTCTGTTTAATCTATGTCGGGTACCATTCTGTAATTCTGTATGGTGTCGATATATGCTTCATTTGTTTTATAATTTTTTTTTAATCTATAACGTTATTTTTCAATAATAAGTTATTAAATTTATTACGGATGTAGTAAAACTTGTTAAAAATGCAGCATATATTATAATATAAGTTATAAGTTTACATTATTACAAAAAATATATCTTACATATTATATTAATTTTATGCTATTAAATTTGTTTTTATTTAAATTTTGCTCAGAAATAACAAGTATCAAGGTGCAATATGCATTTTAATAAAAATTATTTGCGTAATAGCTAATCCATTATAAAATTGGTATTATAATTTTTTTTTGTTATTGTATTGCCTAAATAGTTTTGTCTTTTTCTTACAACTGCATATATGTATATTATATATATTTCTTTCTTTCAACTTACGCTAATGTTGCAAGCTAACAGGTTTTTCTATAAAGTTACCGAGTGGTGGCCATAGATGGCGCACCGAACATATAGTGAAAAGGAAAAAAATCGAAACTCGCTCGCCATTGTAGTTTATTGAGTGAATTTGAGTTTGAGCCATTGCAACGAAAACGGTTTACTGCCTTGGGTCTTGTGTGAAGTGTGTTTATGCTGTGTGTGATCTTAATTTTGGAAGAGTGCAAATTTTTGTGTTTTTACGTTTTGTAAGTATAGTTCAACATCGAATCTATTTTCCACTTGGTAACGGTTTCAGAAACAACGTTTAATCTATTTCTTATTCGTTTCAGTTACGAACTATGGTTCAATATGGCCGTTCTGATATTTTAATATTTTATTGATTTTTACTTCTAACGGGTTATCGTATAATATAAAAGTCACCAATATTACCTTTTATTAAATTTCGGATTTGGTTATTTCGTTGATGTGGCAAAATGACAGTATGGATTTTGACGTTTAAATTCTGAGTCATTTTACTGCAATGCTCCTTGAAATATGCATTATTTATTTTCGCGCAAATTAATGATACTAATGATTTTTGGAAGCCAATATTTACCCGCATTGATCTGATGAAGCAAGGCAAGTTTTTTCAGAACGCTGTAGCATACACAATATATCGTAGCAGAGATTCAACTTAACGTATATTATTACGCGAGATAATTTTCTCGGTAAAGTATATTGTCAGCATTAATTTTGTATTATATTTTCTTTATTTATATAATTATGTTCTTTATTACACAAAGTCATCTAGTCCAAAACTAACCAAAACATATAGTAAGAGCACTAAGCAAAACATAATTGATAAACATACTTTTCTTTTGTAAATAAAAACATATTTTAGATATATAAGGACCCTGAGATTGGAAGAACAATATATTCATCACACAATATTTTTATAGTAGATACACTCTGGAATAAGAGACAAGTTCACAATGTACTATACCATTCAGGTTGTCAAATAGTTTATTAGGTTTAGTTGCCAAATTCGATATTCTTAGATTGTGATCATTAATATAGGGAAATGAAAACACTGTTAGAATAACTGTAGTGTTTTGTAATAAAATTGTGAATTTCCACAATAATGTTTTGTCTTAAAAACAATATCCATTTTTACGAATTGATTTCTTTTTAAGTATTGCTTTACCAAAAAAACTTTTAAAATTCGTAATTTCTTCGTATTCCAATGAAATAGAGACTGTGTTCTATTTTTTATTTAAATAATTTAAAATAAGATCATAATGATTTTTAAACATTGTATATTTAATCTAAACATCATGGAATTATTAGGGTGAACAATAAGACCTGGCTTTGAAGTTTTGTCATAGAAAAATAATACTTTTTAAGTATTTAACTATACATAGAATATCTTAAGTATTTAATTAAGATGCTTGTATAATCAATCTCTGTTACAGCAAATACTGTCTCTCAGTCATGGTTATGACACAATAAAAAATAGGCAGGACCATCTTTTTTAACACCTAATGACACCATTAAAAGTGTATAGTATTTTGAAATTTACCAAGATAAGCCTATACAGAGGCAGTGTTCAGCTTACAAAAAAGGTCAAATAAGCAACGTAAAGAAGCCCTAAGATTGCCTAAATTAATTATTGAAAGAAACCTAGAAAGTTAAAAAAGGAAATGAGAAATGCCTAAATGGCACCTGCTTCACTAATAGCTTATAAAAAACTTTAATAAGTGGAATGTATTGATTCAAAGTCACATCTAAACAATTAATTCTTTTCTTTATTAAAAACTTGTTGGAATAACAAAAATGAAGACAGTTACTTTTATATTGACTACCTGCTTACATGTTTCTTGTTTGAGAATAGATTTTACTAAATTGATATACCACACTAAGATACATAAGCCAATTATTGGTATGCACATTAATTAGGTATGGTACAGATTAAGTCTGGAGAATTTCAGAATGTGGAGGGCAGATGTTATTTAAGCTAAATGTTTTATTGAGTAGTCTTTACTGTGTAGTGTAACTTGTGATTGTATTTTAATATTGTAAACACTGCATTGTTTATAATTACTAATTTCCTTACATAATTTAGGCCAGCTTGAATATTTTGAACTGTTCACTACTTTAGATTGGTTCACAGAAGATATAAAATAATCTTTTGTAGTTTTTTAATGTTACCATTATCTTAAAATTAGTTGTGTCATAATTGAATAAATGTTGGTGAGTTATAACTGTGTTCTTTGCATGGGGCAGGTGTGATAATGGCAACGGCTTACCCGCCGTCGCCCGCGTGAACCAGTGAGACTCTAGTGCAGTTAACCTCCCGGGCCCGCAGCCTCAAGCGTCACCCGACCACAATGAAAATGGTGTTGTCACAACGGCAACGAGAGGAGCTGTGAGTAGCTCTTTCATTCCACATATAGTTTACACATTTTCGTTTTAAGAAGTGTTACATGTGAGGGTGAATGGATACTGCTTAGTTTTTTTAATGGATGTTTGCAATATTAGCAAGGTGAAGGAGCAATTTGTTTACATTTTTTTTGGAAAAGTTATCAAGCATGCATCTGCAATTTGTCTGTGGTTATGAGCATTGCGTTTTATCACTGTGGACTGTCCCGATGGTAAGTGATGATGGCCCTCATTATCTTCAATACTGGTTTCTATGCCAAAAAGCTATGGCGAAAGGCTGAAAAACAGATAGAGCCGGTTCATTTCGCAACAGGAATTTCCACGTGGTTTTGCTACGGAAAAGTCACTATCACTATCCTTATCACCTTCATTTTTATTTATACAACTGCCGTAATATTTATTAATCAGTGTTCACAATCGGCGAATCGAGTGGAACTTTGTATGATTACGTGATTATTTTTATTATAAAGGGCTTATGTCAAAGATGCTTAAATTTGTGTCTTCGATTCATATTTGGGCTTCGTAAATATCATGTTTCCGATTTTCGTACACAGCTCGAGTGCCTCCCAATCCGCCTTCGTAGCAATACCCATATTCTCTCTGCTTTGTACAGTGTTGTTTAATCCGTCTACTCCGAAATACTTAAAAGATCGCTTCGAGTATCTTTCCTTATCCCATGAAAGGTCCCTTCGTTCTTCTGCCTATCTCTCCCTCCAAACTCCTGTACATTCCTCTTCCTTCTTCAAAAAATCTTTTACAGTGACAGCTGTGCGTTTGTGGAATTCTTTGCCCCTTCACATTCGACAAGCTAAGTCACTTCTTTCTTTTAAAAACCTATTAAAAGCTCATTACTTGGAACTGTGAATTCACGCTTTCCTTTTTCCTTTCCTATTTTTCCCGAAATCTTTCACTATCTTATTGACGTATAAATGCCTTCATCCGATGTTCATAAGTGATTCATGTACACCTCCCTCTGCTCTCTTCTTTATGTCTTATTAGCAAATATTCTTTTCACAATGGTTGTCTGGAAGAAATCGCATTCTGAGCGATAAGACCGCCTATTGTACTTCCTTTTATATTCATTTGTAATTTGCTTTTTATATATTTTTATTTTTGGTGTACAATAAAGTATAAATAAATAAATAAATAAATAAATAAATAAATGCTCAAACGGTCGACCGCGAGAGGTTTTAAGGTCGATCGCCGAGAATGGGCCAGGCAAAAAGCTCTAGATTCTGTCGCTTTTTGATTGAAATTAAAATATTAATAACGTGAATAGCGTTCCAATAACAGCGTTCTTTGCATCGAAATAGCCGTGCAAATCTACATTTTCGTAGATGAAAATATTTTGTTTTTAACAAAATGTCGTCGTCGTTTTAAGTAAAGCATGACGTCGACATTGATATATTTTAAGATGACATACAAATTTTACTTAAAAAAATGTATTACTGATAATTTTTGGTAAGTACTCTATGGTAGGTATGTCTATCTCCTAGTCATACATTTGTGGTAGGTAGAAAAGAGGAAAAAGTCTTGTGTTACCCACTGGCTTATGCGGCTATGTGCATTTATGACGATTTGTGTAATAGCCTAGTATTATGAATTCTGAATTTAGTACGAAGTAGTCATGGAGAATTTTCTTTGTTTGCTTGGTATTTAGTTTGGTATTTATAGTAGTGCGCCGAAACTGAGTCCCGCAAATTACGCCAATTCATTTAATTAGATTGCAATTCTATAAACTGCTATCTCTATATATGTCATATATGTCATAATAATGTAACACGGAACAACTTTGAAACGCCGCGTAGTATGGACACGCGTCATCTTTAGTAAAACGTCATTGGATTAGGTCGTATCATACAAAAATGTCATACTAAAGTTACAAACATAATTATTATTTTAACTTTTCACCATATAATTTAATGATAAATTATCATTTCGTGTAAAATTTTCACGTTTCATTGGCTGCACAATTATCAATTTGCTTATACCGTATGTTATGCTAAAAGTTTATTTGGATAATGTGTGTTAAAACAATCACAACGGACATTTCTATCTGAACATATACCTCACATGTGCAAAGACTTCCTTGTTTTAATCACGGAAGTATCACATCCTCGGCAGTTGCTAACTAGGATTGCATTTATTGATCCTTTAAGGATATAATTGTTACAATTATTTCTAAGTTACCGTGTGGAATTGCATTCGTGCCAGTAACTGAAAACAGGCGAAAGAAACAAATTTCCCATATGTATACTAGGAATAAATCTAAAGTGTTTAAAGTATTATTTGTTCAATTATAAGCATATAAAAACCTCATCTCTTCGCTGAGTATAAGATATATTTTATACTCAATTGATTTTTTTAAAATTTTACAGAACTTCATTATTTGGATGAACAGTGAGATTTATTGTAAAATAGGATCTTATTTTTTAAATCTTCCGTTTTTATCAAACATCTGCAATTATTTGTTAGGACTTAACGTGGCGTTTAACAACTGGCTAATGAATGTATTGAGACTATTTGTAAAGTCTCACGAATTCAATGCTAGTAAGTGCTAGAGGTCTCGTGAGCGCGACTAAAAAGATTTCATGTCTTACAACGTTAAAATTTTTAAATGATTGCATGTTGTACCCCATGCAACCTTATTCATCAATATTAGTTTGTTAAATATTAAGACATAATATACAGCTTTTTAGGATGTTACAAAGTTTCCATCAAAGTAGATATAGTTTTAATGAAAAGTTAAGGATCGAAGATTTCAACCCTAGAAAATCGGCTCTTTCATAAACTAGAATTTATGTTATAAATCAGGGGTGGGCAACATTTTTAATAATTTGCCTGGCATCGCAAAAATAATATTTAAATATACAGAACCATACTTTTGGAAATGTTAAAATGAATATATATTAAGGTATTGATAATAATTACAATTTAAAGTTTGATATTGCAAATTTTCTTAACTTATTTTACAATTATCTCACATAAATAGCAGTCTCCTCTTTGTATGCGGATATTATCAAATTGCTGCAGGTTGCTGAAACCTCTTATTGACGCCATATGATAGATTCAGATAAGTGACAAGAATAATGCTTGCTGTGTTAAACAGCTGGCAATTTCATATTTCGGCACTAACTCTAACATCGTTGAATTTCTCAATACTCTAATAATCCTATTTACTATAATTTTGATCTACGCATACAATTTTTCAATTTAAATTTAATTGAAGATTAAACGTATTGAATTCCTAACTGACTTCTACAAAATTTTAGCAAGATATGTGCAAAAATGTCGAATTTTATTTTTGGAAGATTTTTGATTCAGGCTAAAGAGCGTTGCAAGTTGAGTCGAGATGGAGGTATTGCAGTATATAGCCATACATTTATTTGGTCCATTGCTGGGGGACACAAAAAAGTCGTCGGGTAGGCATAATTGTGTGTTCCAAATGAACACCGAAAATGGACTGTTGGTGAATTTCATGGAGGCGGTTTAATTACGTCCTTACTGGCGACAGCGAACCAACATTCGTAAAGCTTCCATATGCCGCCTTGCTGGACATAATGTTATTACTTCAGATAAACAACTATGTATTTAAATACGTCGCAACTGTAAATGATCCCGTTTAACATAGTATCACGCCGGTTAAAAACGTTGTCATATGCCACGGCTGTACAAGTATTGCGTAAGAATATGTAATGACACACAAAAAGCTTTAAAGCTTTATTAATTAGTACAAAGCGGCCATTATTAATTTGCGTAATGTATTGTATACACCAATAAAAGTTCTTTAACTTCTATAGGTGAACGTTTTGAAAGAGGTGTGCGTATATGTATGACTGCACAATTTTATCAATACTATGCAGCGGAAGAATGCTGCAATGCGCAGTTTCTCATGCACGCTGCGTTGAAGTTTATCTCACTTTACTAACCTCCTGTCATCGAACTACTAATATCGAAATTATTCCAAATTCACTTGTAATTGTTCATTTGTTAAAATGAATTGAAAATCGCATATTCTACTACCACAAGTCACTCTTTTTGTAAACTTCTTCTTTCCTTAAGATTTTATGGAAATGCTTTTGCACTTACACTCCGAAAAGGTGTACATCTTTCTCTTTACAGAGCTTGGTAGGGCCAAACGCGGATTCGTAGCCTAGATAAAGTAAGAAATACCTATAGATGAATTAAAAAACCGGCCAAGTGCGAGTCAGACTCGCGCACGAAGGGTTATCTATAAAAACGGCAAAAAATCTTGCCTGCAGTATGAAATATAACACTTCATATCACTTAAATACATTTTATTCTGTTTTTTAATAATTTTATTTGTTGTTAGAGGCAACAGAAATAAATCATCTGTGAAAATTTCAACTGTCTTATTATCACGGTTCATGAGATACAGCCTGGTGGCAGACGGACCGACAGCAAAGTCTTAATAGGGTACCGTTTTACCCTTTGAATAAAAAACCCTAAAAATAGCAAGAGACTAGCGATTCCCCTATTGTTAAGTGATTACCGCCGCCTTTGGGAATCTTTAACCTGAGGGGCTTGAGATACTGGCAACGCACCTTTAAAAACATTTGACCCCGGTTCTCAGTAAGGGATCACTCACCGTGAGGCCATTCGCATGATACTATTTACTTATTTGGTAACATTTTAAGTCACATTGCATTTCAATGGTGACTTAAAATATTACCTACGTGTGTAAAAACTCTTTAATAAATAAGTAAAAAAGAACTTAAAATATCATTAACTGCAAAAGGTTTCAACATTTCGTAGGGTGTTAGAGCATATTCCGCCACGGGGCCCATTACTGATCGGAGGACAATGGTGCAAAAGGTCGCCTAAAACGATCACCGAACCTTTTACTTTTGAACCGCAATGCGAATCTTGCCCGCACCTCGCTCGACCTTTGAAAGTAACAGTGTTCTCCAAACGCCATGTCGTCGACCCCGACGTGGACGCTTCCCCTCGCCGACTCTACTTCGT